CTTGGCACTGCTCTTCGCGTAGCCTGCGGACGCGTTTTCGTGAGGGAGCGTTTCTTGGCCGCCGTGAGCCGGCGCTCCGGGTGCCGCGGATGGAAGCCGTTCTCTCGCGTTTGCGCACTTGAGCTGCTGCAGGTCTTCGTGCAGCCGCATTGCGAACTGGAATGGAGACCTGTTCTAGATGAAAAAATGCTTGTTTTCTTAGGTTAGTTTTAGCCCAGATCAGTCTCATCACCCGGTTCATCACGTAACGGTGTATGTGCTTACAGATGTAAAGACGGGGGCCAGCGGTGTGTCGGTGGGTGCAGAAATGGGTGCCATCCCTTTCAGTGGCATTGCTCGTGTTTTGCTGGGTTAAAGGCTCTGTGAAACCGTAGCCCAGGTCTCAATGAGCAGTGTAATATCACCGGACTAGATAGCGTCCTTTGGGCCCTTGACCTGTGCGTCTACTGGAATTTAGAAATTGTGTGACTGACGCAGCTGTTTGCATTGAGGGAAACATATAAATACAATCTAGTTTTCTTTCTGATGTCGCTTACATGTTTACCATATCGTGGTGGTATGAGGAAGATAGGTGTTTCCCTTCAGAAATCTCCAAAAGGGGGACAGCTGTTAACAGGTAGATGACTCCTGGAAGACAAGGAGATGGTCTAATCAATGTTGATATTAAGTATTAGAAAGAAAGCCTATCTGGGACCTTGCATGCTTATCTGAGTAACACGAGAGGAGCCTAGAAGCGTCAGGGATGAATGCTGCTGTGGAGGCAGTGCCCTTTTGGTGGTTTATGCTGCGTGCTGTGCGAAAGACGTGCTTCCTGTACGGAATATGTACCTCCATCTTCCAACACACTTTGCATGGCATCTTTCAGCCCCAGCTTGCTTTGGTAACGTGCCCTGAACGTGTTCTCAGTACTTAATACTTGACTGAAAAAACCCCACTATTTTACTTAAAATTCAGCAGCTCTGAGGAATGTCTTAACATCGTGAACCAAAATCTAAAGCAACATAAGAAGAAACAAGGTATTTGTAACTCATGAAAAGTTTTTAAAGTGTCACTTGGCTGGGGTTGAAATCTTCAGACTCGATGCAAAATCTTAGGTTTACAGAAAAAGTTAAAATCGTCACCTTTCGTACAGAGAGAGCGCTCCTTCTTTGTCCCATGCTCAGTCACTAGTGCTTTCGAAAAAAAGAGTTGATTTGAGTCCTCCTGTTGCTGCTGCCATCTGTGACTCTTCTCTGCCCCATTACCCAGCTGTCTTCTTTGAACGACTTCCTCTTCTTCTGTCACGCTTCAGACTTTCTGCACTGGCTTATCACGCTGGCTCATCTATTCTCTGTCTTCTAACTGCCTTTCTCTTGGCACCTTAAATTCGTCTTGTGGCTGTGTGATTTTAGCACCTTCATCTAAAGTTTTCTCCTCCTTGATTGCTAAATGTTAATATATGCTGCTATAGGAGAAAGTATTTAACACGCAGGGAGAGCTTCTTGTTAGACCTTGTGTTCAATATTTGTAATTTATGATGCTAGCAAGTGTTGCTAATCTTGTGCTTATGGACTGTCCAGTTTTTATTGCCATTTGTATTACCTTGTGATTCCTCTTTAAGCTGGTTAATACAATGCTTGCCAAATCATAGTTTTCCTAGTTTAAATACTAGGAATATTTTCGCAAATTACATTTTGAAGATTTGAATTTTTCTTTCTGGTATTTCAAATAACACCAAGTCCTGAATATGTAATCTCTAGCACAGTGGTGGGCCATTAAGACCATGATAAGCTTTATCAGTTTATCAGTTTTGCTGTACATGAACAACCAATTGGGAGTAGATTTTAGGTTTTGGGTATTCAGGGAGGCTCAATGTTTCTCTGAGTGTACACTTGAAGGCAATTATTTCTAGTCATATTTTGGTACAACGGTTTGAATGCTGATACAGCATCAGTAGTCTTGAAAGGGCTGAGCTGTATATCTGCTAAGCTAATAAAGATAGATTTTCATGTGGATTATGCCACTGCCACTGAAACTTGTGCTGCTTTCATCAGAAGTAATTTTTTAAAACATTTTGGCAGCCAAACTGCCTAACCTTGCAGAAAGGTGTTCTTTTAAAAACATTGAGGAAAAGTTGGTAGCAAGACTTTTTCCCTGCTTCTTCCTGTGATATGGTCTGCAAGGCACTTTTTGTTCTCTTTTATATTCCGTGTATTTTTAAAATATGCTCCAGGCAACCCACTTTCTCCTAGCACTGACATTCAGAAAGAAATTACCTATTTAAAAAACAAAACAAATAAACAGGCACACAATTAAGAGAGGTAATAAAGTCTGATAAACCATCTGTATTTCTCTCTTCTGTTTACAGTCATAGATTCCAGGACTCACGGTTACTTGATGTTACCTTGTCTGCCACTGGTGGAGAAGTGATTAGTTACAGTAAATAAAGAAAGTGCTCTGTATCTTATCTTGCCTTTGCTTTCATTGGAAAGAGCAGATGTTTGGCCTGTTCAGAATTTAATTATTTATCTGTAGTAATATTCTCTTTTATAATACTGTTTTCTCGTTTACTAATTTGAATTAATGAACAAAAAAGTCCTGTGATTGTTTTTGGATTTTATTAAAATGACATAAAGACACATGCTCAGTGATTCACCACTTGAGTCCAAAGTAGGACATTTTTACTAGGTGGATCAGTGTTTAAAATGACAGCATCTGCTTGCTTGTACACATTTATTTATGATTCTTCCCCAGGCGAGTATAGCAGGAGTCTGGTGAGTAATAACCAGCTGTTGGAATTAGCAAATAGGGAAAGCAGCTATTTGATCTGTGAAGGAGTGTGGAAGCCAAGGCCAGAAGTAATAAAAACTGAACAGGTGCCTGAAATGTATAAACCCAAGTAGGGACGTGTAAATTACTTGCACTACTGATGGGCAAAATAGTGTCAGATGGGTTGATTTTGTCTGGAGTTTTTATTAAAGATGAAACCCTCTCCACCACTGCGTCACATACAGCAATCCAGAGCACGTCTTGGGTTTAATTCTAGCACCACTGCAGTGCTCGGCCAGCGTGAGCAACAGCGTGCAAGGCATGGCAGCTCTCTCTGGTGGCTTCCGTCAGTTGCCTCTCTGATATATTAGCAGAATGGGCAAAAAGGGGTTCGAGCGTGAGGAGACTCTGCTGTTGGACCACCTTGTCTGAAATACCTGGTGTACTGTGGCTCAGGTCTGTTCTGGTCCTCTTGTGAGGTGTGTTCTTATAGTGAGGAATTTCCTAGGCAAATGCTGCAGGAGTGCAACAGCAGCACCAAATATTTTCCATCTTCTCAGGACTTCAGGCTGCTGCTCGGCTTCTCAGGAGCACCATGTCCCTTTTGGCAGCCTGGCACTCTGGAATTACCAAGGGAGGTGGTCTGTTTCCTTGATACCTGTGCTTTGCGAGAGTTATCGGAAAATGCTTTCTGTGGGACTGCTGCCCTTATTCTGACGGTTGATGAGACCAGTCCTGAAGTGACTGTTGCAGCTTGATGGGGAAAGCCTGCCCTGAAAATTAGTGTTACCTTCCACCATGACTTTCGGCAATGATGTTTTGCTAAGTTGGAACTTACATTGTGCTGGTTAGAGTTACTGCAGTTGCTCTAAAATAAAAATAAATTTATGACAACAAATGAAAAATTTATGTTCTTCATATCATAGAATCATTAAGATTGGAAAAGACCTCTAAGATCATCAAGTCCAACTGTCACCCCAACACCACTATGCCTACTAAACCATGTCCCAAAGTGCCACATCTACACATTTCTTGAACACCTCCAGGGATGGTGACTCCACCACTTCCCTGGACAGCTTGTTCCAATGCTTTACAACTGTTTCAGTAAAGAAATTTTTCCTAATATCCAATCTAAACCTCCCCTGATGCAACTTGAGGCCATTTCGTCTTGTCCTGTCGCTAGTTGCTTGGGAGAAGAGACCAACACCTACTTCACTACAACCTCCTTTCAGGTAGTTGTAGAGAGTGATAAGGTCTCCCCTCAGCCTCCTCTTCTCCAGACTTAGCAACCCCAGTTCCCTCAGCCGCTCCTCATAAGACTTGTTCTCTAAACCCTTCACCAGCCTCGTTGCTCTTCTCTGGACACACTCCAGCACCTCAATGTCCTTCTTGTAATGAGGGGCCCAAAACTGAACACAGTATTTCAGGTGCGGCCTCACTAGTGCTGAGTACAGGGGCACGATCACTTCCGTAGTACTGCTGTCCACACTATTCCTGATCTTCCCATTTTGTAAAGAAGATAAGCCAAGGTGAAACTATGGAAGTTACATTGAAACTTTCATAACATTTCATAACATTTTGATGGTTGTGACAATATTTTAGAAATCCTGTATCTTCAGAAATGTTAATTTTGTATACCTCTTATTAAGCTTACGCTCTAGCTTGCCTTTAGGGTGGCATAAACTGTGTCTCTACGGTATGTGAAGTTGGGACCCTAAAATATATGAGCCTCTAAATGTTATTATTTGGCCAATTATTT